GGGGGCGACTCGCCGTCAAGCGTCGCCGTCAAGCGCCGCCGTCGGTTGCTTATGGTTTTACGGCTTGCGCCGGCGTTGGTGGCTAGGGTTTTACGGCTTGCGTCGGGGAAGAAGGCAAGGAAAGGCACACTTTTCTCTTTGTTATATCGCCCCTCACGCCCGCCCACGAATTTGGGTTCGGCCCTCCACCATATAGCTCGCCAAACAGGGCGTGCTAACTGGCCGGCCCGATAGCACGTAAGAACGGCACGGCACGGGCTAAACGGGCCAGGCCCGGCACGCGGCACGCCATGGGCCATGCCTGGGCCTGGAAGCTGGGCATGCGGGCCGGCACGGCATGGCCCGTTTAATTTTTAAAAAATTTTCAGAATCTTTTATATATGCATGACCTAAATTATAGTCCAATAGCCCTAAAATACAACCCAATAGGCTAAAAATAGGTTGCTCGGCATGCTAACCGTGCCTGGGGCAAGGAGCAGCGCCCGTGGGCCGGCCCGGCTATTAAACGTGCCACAGCGGGCCGTGTCGGGCCAGGCACATTTAGCACGGGTCGGGCCGGCCCGTTTGGCCAGGTCTGCTCCACCATGTCGTTCTAATAATGGGCCACACCATTCCACTCGTGTGCGAAAAGGAGGCTACTCAACCTCGGTCGACCGATCCAGCGCCGGATGGGTCAACCTGTGAAGTGAGACTAGAAACTCGAATAGAATTGCCATATTTTTTCGTGAAGTGGGTTATCTTTTTTATGTATACACATAACAAACATGTCGTGAGTTACAAAGGTTGAAAAATATATATCACACACCTCTATACCAATAAGTATGGTTCAAAGTCCCTTCCCCGCTGGTCCATGTCCTAACTTATGCATCCAAACATGGTTGATTCCAATGAGACCATCCATGGTACCCCCGCTGACTCTGACTTTGTAATGTTGTGAACTTGTTTCGGGGAGGGTGGGTCCTCCATGTGTCAACGCATGCATCCTTATGGTCTGATAATCAGCCTCATGCGTGTCATGGCAGTGACAAAGTTCCTCTCCTGCTTTTTGCCTCTTTGTGAATTTATCATAATGTCAGATTCATCTCACGGAGGCACGACGTTAAGGTGTAAGGAAATAAGTCAATTTCAGGACCACGCACCTCCGGGCAATGGGAATCAAAGGTGGAGGTAGGTTACTGATACGTCCATTTTGCATCATGTTTTCTTACTGTTATTTATGATGTTTTTATCCATAATAATGCTTTTTAAGTAATTCTAATGCCTTTTCTCTCATAATATGTAAGGTATACACAAAGTGGGAGAATTCTGGCAGCTGGAAATCTAGACCTGGAAAAGTTACGTCAGGCCACCTATTCTGCACAACTCCAAACAAGCTGAAACTTCATGAGGAATTTGTATGAAATATTTGAGGAATATTGGAGCAAATAACTACCAGAGGGGGCCCACCAGGTGAGCACAACCCACCTGGGCGCGCTAGGGAGCCCAGCCGCGCCCTGGTGGGTTGTGCTCACCCAGGCCCACCTCCGGTGCCCATTCTGGTATATAGGTCATTTTGACCTAGAAAAAATAAAGAGAAGACTTTCGGGACGGAGCGTCGGCGGCTCAAGGCGGAACTTGGGCAGGAGCACTTTTGCCCTCCGGCGGAGCGATTCCGCCGGGGGAACTTCCCTCCCGGATGGGGAAATCATCATCATCACCACCACCAACAACTCTCCCATCTTGGGGAGGGCAATCTTCATCAACATCTTCAACAACACCATCTCATCTCAAACCCTAGTTCATCTCTTGTGTTCAATCTTGTTACCGAAACTATAGATTGGTGCTTGAGGGTGACTAGTAGTGTTAATTACATCTTCTAGTTGATTACTATATGGTTTATTTGGTGGAAGATTATATGTTCAGATCCAATATGCTATTCAACACTCCTCTGATCATGAGCATGATTATCATTTGTGAGTAGTTACTTTTGTTCTTGAGGTCACGGGAGAAATCATGTTGCAAGTAATCATGTGAACTTGATATGTGTTCGATATTTTGATAATATGTATGCTGTGATTCCCTTAGTGGTGTCATGTGAACGTCGACTACATGAGACCTCACCATATTTGGGCCTAAGGGAATGCATTGTGGAGTAGCAATTAGATGATGGGTTGCGAGAGTGACAGAAGCTTAAACCCCAATTTATGCAATATTCCGTAAGGGACCGATTGGATCCAAAAGTTTACTGTTATGGTCAGAATTTATTCTTAATACTTTTCTCGTAGGTGCGGATGTGTAGGATCGAAAGTATGTCTAGGGGGGTGATTAGACTATTTGACCAAATAAAAACCTAGCCTTTTCCTAATTTTAAGTTTTGGCAGATTTTAGGAACTTAGCACAAGTCAAGCAATCAACCTACACATGCAAATCTAAGAGTATAGCAGCGGAATGTAAATCATTGCATATGAAGGTAAAGGGAGGAGTTTGGGGGCAGCAAACGCAATGTAGACTCAGAGATTTTTTCCGTGGTTCCGATAGGTGGTGCTATCGTACATCCACGTTGATGGAGACTTCAACCCAAGGGTAACGGCTGCGCGAGTCCACGGAGGGCTCCACCCATGAAGGGTTCATGAAGAAACAACCGTGTCTATCCCACCATGGGCATCGCCCACGAAGGACTTGCCTCACTAGGGTAGATCTTCACAAAGTGGGCGATCTCCTTGCTCGTACAAACTCCTTGGTTCAACTCCAGAATCTTGATGGAGGCTCCCAAGTGACACCTAACCAATATAGGAGACACCACCCTCCAAAAGGTAATAGATGGTGTGTTGATGATGAACTCCTTGTTCTTGTGCTTCAAATGATAGTCTCCCCAACACTCAACTCTCTCTCTTACGGATTTGCATTTGGCGGAAAGATGATTTGAGTGGAAAGCAACTTGGGAAGGCTAGAGATCAAGATTCTTGTGGTTGGATTGGAATATCTTGGTCTCAACACATGAGTAGGTGGTTCTCTCTCAGAAAATGAATGATGAAAGTGTAGGCACGTTCTGATGGCTCTCTCCACGAATGAAGAGTGGGTGGAGGGGTATATATAGCCTCCACACAAAATCTAACCGTTACACACAATTTACCAAACTCGATGAGATCGAATCATGAAACTCGGTCACACTGATTTAGTTCAAAATGTGAACGTTAGGCTTTTCGGTGGGACTGACATGTCAACTCAGTGGGACCGATTTCATTAGGGTTGGAGCATAACGTAATCTTGGTGAGACCGATCACATAAACTCGGTAAGACCGATTTCTGTAATAGGCAAACAGAGAGTTGGTCAGGCAAATTCGATGGGACCGAATCGCTCATTTCGGTGAGACCAAAACGTTACAAATGGGAAACAGAGAGTTTGCATTGCGAACTCGGTGGGACCGATCGCTCATCTCGGTTAGACCAAAAGGTTACTTAGGAAAACAAAGAGTTTGCAATCCCATCTCGGTGAGACCGAGATCCCTATCAGTGAGACTGAACTGATTAGGGTTTCTGGCTATGGCTATGTCAAATGAACTCGGCGGCGCCGGATAGATCAAATCGGTGGGGCCGAGTTTGACTTTTGGTTGGGACATATGTGGAAATGAGAAAGTGGTTGAGGGCTTTTGGAGCATATCACTAAGCATTTTGAGCAAG